ATACCGATAACCGCGGTTTCGTAACATCCGAAAAATCAGGCCAAGCTAATTGATACTCGTTACATATTCCATATAACGATCCTGTTTCAAGAACAACACCGACGATTCGAGGAATATTTTACATTTACCACTAACTTGGCGTTACTGCACATCGAACCACGGCCATGACCTATGGAGGGCTGATTCATATCTTTTTTTTGTGGGAAACACCGTGTCGATGACCCACGCTTCCTCCGTACGAAATATGTAGTTCGCGTGACCCATGCTTCGTACTCGCGAGTATATACCGAAACATAGCTCAAATAACTTACGTTATGCCGCATATTTCATATGGCATACACGTCAAGTGACCCACGGACATCCGTGACGAATCGTCTAGGTGACCCATGCACCCCGTGGCTAATTATTCGCGTGACCCGTGTTCGTAAATCCCCCTTGCACGGTTTACGACCCATTTTTCCTATGATCCACTTAACGAAACATCAAGTGACCCATATTAGGAGTAGCTTACGTGACCCATGCTACTAACCACTAACTATACGTTCAATAATTTGTTTCGTTAAAGTTACGATGTATGTATATAGTCGGTGTGCATGTATATACACAATGAAGTTGATCGTTACATATTGTGGATTGAAAATTTCCTATAATATCACCGTGATTAAGTAGTAGAACTGTTGTACGCTAGTTCTCATGACTGTGTGGTAGCGCAATAATGTGAGTCATCGTTACTCCACAACAGATCGATCGGATTACCAAGTAACGTGACGGTTTGATTTTATTTCTCCGCGATCGTTTTGTATATTCTCCGTTGTCCGTTAAGATTTTTCACACTTGACTCTCGAATGTGTGCCGGTTAGGAAGGGAGTCGCGTTGGTATCGTTCAGGTCCTGTCGCGTGACTAATCTCGTTCGTGAACCGTTTTTACTCTGCGTTTGTAAAAACGGACGACAACGGAAGTTCCTGTATTAGTTCGGTAATTCATTCTATCTGAATTGCATCTTAATTTCAATTCGTTTCGACATTTGATCTTAAAAAATAAGTAAATTAAATTACATAATTTTAGCATGCGTAAAAATGATGCGTATGTTAATGATTAAGTGATAAAAGATGAAATAACCTAAAAATAATTGTAAATTATTCCACCGTTAGCGGAAATGATTAAAAATTAATCGAATTACGTTGCCCGCCCTCCGCATGTATATACTTACTTCCTCCACCAGTAACAGAGTTAATTCACATCGCGTGAAATCTTCCTCGTCATCTCGATCATTCAGCG